TCTTAATCTTGGGGTTATAAATTCAAGCCTCATGATGGGTGTAGAGATTACTTAAAAACATATAATCTTTAAAAAGAAAATGGATGACAATAAATTATCTTCTTAAGAAATGGGATTCACCCATGTTTTCTTCCAGTATCTTTATGGTTTCATTTCTTAGCATGTCCACTGGTTAGGGTGGTCTTCCCTAACCCCCCCAGACCATATTAGGACTCCCTTGTCCTCCTGCATGGCATTTCTCCCAGTTGCAAATAACAAATTAGGACTGAATTAGGTGTTAATGTGCATGTCCTGCCTCAGGGATGGCAGAGTAGGCACTGAGCAATGCTTGCTGACTGAATTGTCTCTCCTCCCCAGGCCACTTTAGGACCCTCTCCCACCCTCCTCACCACCCCCACAACGCTTGCACACGAAGTGGTTACCTGGAGTGAAGCAGGAAGACAAAATACTTCCTAGTGGAAGGGGAAGGAGGACTTCAGGTGGTGGGAGGTCACCTGAGTCTTGGGGGAAAAGTGAAATCTGGATAAAGACCAAAAAACCCAAATTCCTCTTTCCAGGTCATCTGTTCTCTTGACTTCACCAAATATCTCATCACTCCACTGCTCACAGGTCCTAATTTTCAAAACCTGCTCTGTGCTGGGAAGCTTTTGCCCCGTTCACCACTGTGAAGCTGAACCCTTCTCACCCCCACATTCACCTGCTCTTGGTGCAGCCTCTTAACCTCCTCCAGGTCCCGCTGGCTCCCTTCTTCCAGGTTCTTCCGGACAACCTCAGCCCCAGCCAAGGCAGCACGCAGGCCCTCAGCCTCGACTCGACCAGCCTTCTCCGCCTGAGCCAGAGCCTCCAGCTCCAGGGTCTGGGCCTCCAGCCTCATCTTCTGCTGCAGCGAGGTCTCCCGCAGGACCCGAACCTCCTCCTCAAGTCGCCGCAGCTCTCGCAGCTGCCGAGAGATCAGCTCAGCCTGCTGGCTCAAGGCCTGTGACCCTTCTAGCTCCACAGACCTTAAAAAACAGGTTAGCACGAGTGAGACCGGTCTCTGGCGCTGGGAAGGTGGCCAAGGGGACATATGGAGACAGGAGGAGAAGAGGGTTCCTCTGTCCCTGTGTTGGAGATGAAGGGGATGAAATTGGGCCATGGGGATCTCTGCACTTCCATCATTGTTGTCATTTATCATGGCCCTACTAAACAGATTAGGTCCACTATCAAGGCTCACAGAACCTAAAGGCTACTTGAGATCATGGAATATGACCTCTGTTGAGAGAGCTATATACATGCAAATGCATTAAACATCAAATGTACATATCATCAGGCCACACATTCTGAAATGGAGAGCTGGAAGACACCCAGAGATTTCTGAATTCTGATTTAAGAGCAAGGAAAAGTTTGAAGAAGTTTCAGAGGAAGAGAGGTCATGGCTTCCAGTATCAACAGAGTGAGAGACCAGGCACTAGTTAAAAGCATTTATTGAGGGTTAGATATACTATATGAGGAGTCGACAGCACATCAATAAATTACATAGTATGCTGGTATCTTGTAAAACTTAAACCAGCTTATCTTAACATGGCTCTTGACGCAACTCCTTCACGGAGGCCCAGAACCACAGGATTTTTCTTTCAAAATGACGGGGATCAGGGCACCTGGGTAGTTTAGTCCGTTCACTGTCTGACTTCAGCTCAGGTCATGATCACATGGTTTGTGGATTCAAGCCCCACATCGGGCTTTGCAGTGACAGCAGAGAGCCTGCTTTGGATTTTCTGTCTCCCTCTGTCTCTGCCCTTCTCCCATGCACACACGCACTCCCTCTCTCTCTCAAAAATCAATAAACATTAAAAATAAATAAACACCCAAACAAAATGGCAGGGATCTATAGCCTAGAGACATTAAGTGACTGGCCAAGGACCCTACTTGGTAGCCAGACTAGCAGCAGTCTTTGTCTCCTGACCCACACTCCAGTATTCCTCTTTTGTCATCATGCTCCTTCCTCTTGGACAGGGTCCAAGGTGGACCCATCGGCAATCCCACTCCAGGGCAAAATGGCAGAATGACATTCCAGTACATTTGGGAAAAGACACACATGAAACATCAAGAACAAGAATTAGAATTTCTACAAACACTGGGGTGCCTGGGTGGCTCAGTCAGTTGGGTATCCGACTTCAGCTCAGGTCATGATCTCGTGGTTTGTGGGTTCAAGTCCCGTATCAGGCTCTGTGCTGACAGCTCACAGCCTGGAGCCTGCTTCAGATTCTGTGTCTCCCTCTCTCTCTCTGCCCCTCCGCTGCTCACGCTCTGTCTCTTAAAAATGAATGTTAAAAAAAAAAAAAAAAAGAATTTCTACAGACATAACTTCGACAAATAGCAGGGCCGGCTCTAATGGCAAGTACTCCATCAGAATGAATGCACATTACCACAGTATAGCCTATCTATACTCCTACTTTGCACTTCTTGGTCTTGCCTCGTATTATGCTTATTACCTACTGTCAGCTGTTGGTCAGTCTACCTCTTCCCTTAGGATTTTTCGTTCACTGATATCAGGATCTCATTCATGTTTGCTATCCCCATGCAGCACACTGCCTTGTTGTTGTTGGGTTTTTTTTTAATGTTTATTTATCTTTGAGACAGAGACAAAGCACGAACTGAGGAGGGGCAGAGAGAGAGAGAGACACAGAATCTCCAGGCTGTAAGCTGTCAGCACAGAGCCTGATGTGGGGCTTGAACCCACGGACTGCAAGATGATGACCTGAGCCGAAGTTGGATGCTTAACCGACTGAGCCACCCGGGCGCCCCAACTGCCTTGTAATTTCTGCATTATAAACTCCAGTAACTGCTTATACAAAAATACACAAATTATGGAACTAAGGGCTCAAACAGGGTAAGGAATCTATTTCAGTGAAGAAGGGTCAGGGGAGGGGCGCCTGGATGGCTTAATTGGTTGAGCATCGAACTTTGGCTCAGGCCATGATCTCATGATTCATGAATTGGAGCCCCACATCGTGCTCTGTGCTGACAGCTCAGAACCTGGAGCCTACTTGGGATTCTGTGTCTCCCTCTCTCTGTCTCTGCCCCTCCACTTGTGCTCTGTCTCTGTATCAAAAATAAAAATTAAAAAAAAAATTTTTTTTAAAAGAAGAAGGGTCACTGGCAAGAAAAGAGCAACAATGAATCCCTACCTGCCTCTCCACCCTGGCTCCTGCACTTTGCCAGAGACATCCTGTTCCCACATTATCACTTGAGGTCTCTGGTCTGGCCGCCTCTCTGAGACATCTTGACGGGCTGGGGGTTGGACCAGGGGAATGTCTGAGACCCAGGTGGGAGCCATTCTTGGTAGAGTTGGAAGGGGACGAGCTTGGAAGTGGGATGGGGGAATCAGCCCAGTGGAACCTGAGGAATCACAATGGCAAAGATGGTCAGTTTCCTAGGGAGAGACAATCATCAGTCCCCTTGCTTGTTCCCACTGACCTGAAGGTCGAAACATCTCCACATTACTTGAAGTCTCTCGATTCTGTATCCAGTCATCTATGTTTTCCTGGACAATAGGAGAAACAAGGACACCCCAGTTCAATTTTCAGGCCACCTTCCAAAGAGAAAGCCCCTACAATAATAAAAATCATAATCCTTTAGTAACTTCCCAAGTAGGAAATACCCAAAGATCACTTGCTTGACCCAACCTGGCTCCTGATAGAACTATGCCAATAACCATCAGGTGGAGGGAATTAACTGAGATAGGCTGAGAAAGAGCTCTTAGACTTCATTCATACTTTTAAAATTCTGGGCAGAGCCTTTACCCTCCTCCTTAAGTTCCTATAGTCTCTGCTGTTCCTGGTCCGTGGTGAGGAAGCAGCTACGCAGTGCAAGGGCTGTGAGCCCAATCTCCAGAGTTCTCTCCATGGCTCAGCAAGGCCTTCGGGAAGCCCATCCAGACACCACCAAGCCATGAGGCCCGGGTCCTTCCCTATTAAAGCACTGGCCCAAGGCCTGGCCCCAGATGAATGTGGCCACATGTAGGGCAGGCCACTCTCCAGGTCCCCTGGGAATCCAGGCAGCCTAGACCTCTTGGCAGAAAAACCAGCTTCCTGACATCTCATCCAAACCTTTCCAGCAACTTTCCTCAGTTTCTCTCTTCTATGCCCTCTGCTGCCATTCCTGCCGCCTACCCTCCTCTTTCCAGAATCCCAGAGCACAAGAGAGATCTCTTCAAAGTCTCCCCACCCTCCCACCAAAATTCACCTATTTCCTCCTCAATCTGGGATTCCTATCACTCTCGCTACAGCCTAATCGGATTTTTTTCCTGAAGGAATTATTCCGATCCCTTACTCCTCCCTCATCTCCCATTTGCTTCCCCGCACTTTGGCAGGTTCTCAGTTCTCGCTCCACCCCATCCCCCCGCCTCTCCTCCAGATACCCGACACTTTACCCTGCTGGACCCTGAGCTCTAAAGCTGTTCGGGCCACTTCATCTGTACCTTTACCTGGTCCCTGCACCCTTCTTCCCCTGCAGACCCCTGAACCCACCCCCGTGCCCTTCTCGGCCCCTTCCCGCCCCCAACTGACTCTTCCCGAACGTCCCCTACCCAGCGCGAGAGCCTCCACTGCCCTTTAGCCACACCCCCTACACGTCGCTCCTGGGAGCAGCCTCCGCCTCTGATTGCGCCTGCGCAAAGCGGGCAGATTGGCGGGCCGCTCTAAAATCCGGTTTCACCCAGGAAGCAGAGAAAGAGATATGCGCAGGCGTAGTAGTATCTAAAGCCAGGCCCAATTAAGGCGTTGGGCGATGTCTCCGCGCCCGGGCGGCTCCTCCCAACTCCGGGAACCCGGGAAAAGTTGTGAACTAATCAGAAAAAGCGGAAGGCGGGAGATCGGGACACACCCAGCACGCTGCCCAATGGGACGGAAGAGGGCAAATGAACTGGCCAATCAGAAGTGGCACAGGGGGCGGTTCGCCCGGCGCGGAGTTCGGACCCGGGAATTCCGAAGGCTGGGCGGGTGCTGCCCGCGCGCGGAGACCGCGCCCCTCTCGACTCCGGCTTCCTCGCTGTCAAACAGCGGCGGTAGCTCTAGCTCCGGGCCGGAGCCGGAGGGATCCCGGGACCGCCGCACAATCTGGCACTGCCTGGAGAGGAGACTACTTGGAGACTGCACCGCGGTAAATCGGAAACTGGGCTGGGCAGGGGAGGGGAAAGGCTGGGTTTGCCTTGCATGATCCTCAGGAAGCTCTTTCCCCTGTTTTTATCCCACCCCGAGAAGCTGGGAAGCCAGGGTTTAGATCTGCTTTGTTAGAGAACGTAGGGACCATTTTCACTGCCTTTTGGGGGACGACAGCGGGTTCACTTCCCATTGGGGTTCCAGATAACCAGTTAGGGCCTGAAGAGCGAGGCGCGGGCGAGCAGGAGGGTTACTCTATTTGGATAAGCAAGTCTGACAGGAAGAAGCTTCTTTCCTCCAAAGTACACTGAGGTGACATGTTAGTATTGTACAGAAGCAGGAATCCCTATACACACATCTACAGTTTGCATTTCCCTAGAAGCTGCCTAATATATCGTTCCCTTGCACAGATTGAATCTCCGCGAATACTGTGGCCTGAGGATCCGGTTCAGCTAAAGTGTCATAGGACGTGATCGTTTTTGCACTGCACTGGGACCTTCCCTGAAATTTTCAGTTGCAAAGCTGCTTGACAGACAATTTTGTTTGCATCGCATGCCTAGGCTCCTTGCACTCTGAATTTGCACTACGCAGGTCTGGGTTCTCATCTGAGTTTTGCCATTGGCCCCTGGCGAAAACTCAGGCCTGTGCTCAGAGTTTAAGTTGCACAAAGCACAGCTCAAGTTTGCGTCAGACAGAAAGTGAGCTTAGGCCACCGTGCATGGCTCAGGAGTGGGAAAGGTGATGGACTCCTGAAGTGGAAGAGGTGGTGCAGGGGGGGCACCGCCCATGCTGCCCTGCTTCCAGCTGCTGCGCATAGGGGGCGGCAGGGGTGGTGATCTCTACACCTTCCACCCGCCTAGCGGGGCTGGCTGCACCTATCGCTTGGGCCGTAGGGCCGATCTGTGTGATGTGGCCCTGCAGCCCCAGCAGGAGCCTGGCCTCATCTCTGGAGTCCATGCGGAGCTGCACGCAGAGCGCCGGGGTGATGACTGGAGGGTCAGCCTGGAGGACCACAGCAGCCAAGGTGAGCAGTGAGCAGGGCAGTCTTGTGCCTGGGAAGTCGCAGTTCTGGGCTGGAATGATTAAGGGGCTCCACAGCAACCCTGCCTGCCTCCCAAACTCCCTATCAAGTTGGATGGACAGTTGTAGTCCAGACCTGCATCTTCCCACTAAAGGTATGCAATGTCAGAAGCTCTCTGCTGCGGGGCTGGCCCTTGATGGTCCCCACCTAGCTGGAACCACCCAGACAGGCTGGGAGGTAGATCCAGGACCTGGGCCATCATTAGGGAAGTATCACAGTGGGGATGTTCTGGGACTATTGGGGGCCAACCTCGGTCTTGACTCAGTTTCTAAATTGGCTGAGACACCTTGTTCTTGTCTTAAGGCAGTTATGGTATGTTGGATTGTTTTAATAAGCAGGGCATACGCCGTACTCCCTGACTTGCAGGCAATTGCAGTCAGCCTCAAGAGGCCTGGGTTTTGTCACTGTCACCAGATGAAACCTCAGGCCTGTCACTTTACCTCTCTGGATCTGTTTCCTCATAGGTAAAATGTAAGGCTTTGTAAGGTCTGTTGCGGGAGTATTGTGGAGATTAGATAACTATAGTAGCCAACATTTATTTAGTGCTGTATTTAGTACTGTATGAACCAGGTACTGTTCGAGTGCATTGACGGAAAATGAGGCATAAAGAGGTTAACTTGTCCAGATTAACAGCTGGTAAGGGTGGAGCCAAGATCTCATCTCAGACAGTCTGAGGTATGCCCATAACTTTGTTTTGGAACTGGGGTGAGAGTATATCTGAGAACAGGACCTCACTGGGACCTCAGCAGAGTGAAGGAAGAAGTCCATTTCCTCCATGTGTCCTGTGGGAGGGCGTAAGAAAATAAATGTGTTCTCCACTCACAAGCCTGCTGAGGGACTTCAAATGTGAGAATTTGATGACAGATGCCATGTTCTCCTTCATGTTCCCCAAAATATTAAAGGAGGCCAGATTTCTCCAGTCCTGACTCTGGTCATTTCTGTTTTTGTCATTCTCTGTCTGGTGCCCTCCGTCAACAGGGACTTTGGTCAATAATGTCCGACTCCCAAGGGGTCACAGACTGGAGTTGAGTGATGGAGACCTTGTGACCTTTGGCCCTGAAGGGTCCCCAGGAACCAGCCCTTCGGAGTTCTACTTCATGTTTCAGCAAGTCCGAGTCAAACCTCAAGATTTTGCAGCCATTACCATCCCGCGGTCTAGTGGCGAAGAGGGAACCAGGGCTTGTTTCCAGCCTATGCTGCCCCCCCAGGGGGCCCCACAGCGCCCCCTCAGCAGTCTCTCCCCTGCTCCAAAAGCCACTCTGATCCTCAATTCCATCGGCAGTCTCAGCAAGCTCAGGCCCCAGCCCCTCACCTTCTCCCGAACTGGGGGTGGACAACAGAACCTGCCTGTTCCCACTCCCCCTAGGGAGGTGGACGCCACCCCTTCTGCCCCACCCCAAAGAAATCGGAGGAAATCAGCTCATCGAGTGTTGGCAGAGCTGGATGATGAGGGAGAGATGCCCGAGAGCTCTGCATCAGTCTTTATAGAGCCCAGGAAGAAACTCCGTGTAGAAGTAGCCCCACGGACACCTGGTGGGTAAGTGGAGAGAGATCTTTCTCAATTTGTAACTCCCTTTGGTTCCTTTTTAGAGCCCCAGGCTGGGAGGTGGCCCTTGCTCTGTGTATAGGAATGGGGATTGGACACCAAAAAAAAAAGAGAGAGAGAATGAGGGTTGGAAAGAGGCGAGACAGATGTTGGATCAGCAAGACCTGGGTCAGCTCTACTATTCAGGTTCACTGTTAGTCCAGTGACCCTATCTAAGTTCATTCTGTGATTATCCAGGGGCAAGTTCTAGGCTTCTTCTACAGGTTTCCAGTGACCCTGGTTTTTGTGTCACTTTGTTCAGAAATCGACGTGGACGTCCTCGGAAGCACCAAGGGAGCACACCCAGGGCTCCCCCTGCAGTTGGGGGTGGGGAGCCCTGTGCAGCCCCTTGTTGCTGCCTGCCGGAAGAAGAAACAGTTGCCTGGGTTCAGTGCGATGGTTGTGATGTTTGGTTCCATGTGGCCTGTGTTGGCTGCAGCATCCAGGCTGCCAAGGAGGCTGACTTCCGGTGCCCAGAGTGCCATGTAGGCATCCAGACCTAAAGCCCAACACCAAGGTACCAGAGGACAGAGAGCTGGTAGCTCCAGGCCATGAGTGGACACAGTGGGGCACCAATGGGTCTTAAGAAATGGCCCCTTCTTTCCTTGCCTCCCCAGGAGGGAATGACTATAAGGGAAGCGTCCATTGCTATGGATATTGATTCAAGGCCTAAAGCAGGCCCTCATGGCCAAGGTGATAGAAGAGATGGTTTCCTGCCAAAGATCTTGCTGCCTCTGGGAAGTTGCCAGCCAACTGGAAATTCCGTTACAAGCTTAGGTTCTTTTTGTCATAGGCACTAGAATGTCTGTGGTCAGAGTACCCATCAATTGCAGAAGCCATGCCTGAGCAGATAAAAGCCTCAGACTTGGAACAAGTGAATGCTTAATGCTTTTGGATGGCATTATAAGGTATTCTGGGAAAACAGCCCTGAAACTTTTACATTGTGAGTAAACCACTGCCACTGACCATGATCATGACCTGGCTTTTCAGAGCTTTGCTTCTATTTCCAAATAAAGAATAAGCAGCTTCATTCACTCTTAGATATCTATTCATTTTGCGGGTCTGATACTCCTTGCTTTCCAGTTCTTGAGAATGGTATGGTCTGAAAAACTAATTCATACTCTTAGGAGAAGAGAGATGAACAGACAGAGCAGAGAAATATGAACCTGCTCACTTGATGTGGAATGGGCTGGACGTGGGAGACTGGAGAAAAGGTAATTAAGGTTTCTAGATTAAAGGAAAACAGATCCACTGCCATTAAAATTAGGTGGATTGTTTGGTCAAGTCCATTAGGATGGCAGAACCTTTACAACTTTCACAAGTACTACTATGGAAGAGAAAACCTGGTACACCAGCTAGAGTGGATGCTGACCTGGTCCAGTGTGGATCAGCCTAACCCATGTACAGTAGTACACAGATTCCCTTTTGTGAGCCTTACACCAAGCCAAAATACTGTCAAAACGGGGTTTTTGTAGCTCATATTAGGAAAGCCCCATCTTGACCTACTGCAATCTTTTATGTCCATTCCTTTCTATCCCTACTTAGACTTAACAACCCAAGTTTTCTTTTTTTAATATCAAGGAAACAGCTCCAAGCAAGGGCCCCCAATTACCCCAATTAAGTAATGGCAAGGCCAGAACAAGAACATGGGGATTTGAGGAGTCACTCATAGACAAAAGTAGGCCAAGACCTTAAGGGCAAACCAAATGGACTTTGGTATCAACAAAGCACATGATGGAGTTTCTACTTGGGGCAATATACAGAAGGAAAGTAAAGAGGATACCATAATATAATGCCACTAAGGAGACTTCCAGAGACTGGGGAGTGGGGAAAGTAAAAAAAGCCAGCTCCTGATAGGGAATGGGCTATAAAAATGAGGTATTCCACTCAAAATTCCCCAAGACTCCAAGTCACAGGCTCTGAAGAACTAGTTCATACCTATAGGGACCTTCTACAAATAAATGGGTTCCAATACCAGCTCTCCCACTAATATTGTATGACTGACAGTTTAAATGGCACCTTGCTTTCAGGGTTATTGGGGTCCAAGAGCCTAACTATTGGGTATCCCCAGCCCCTCTTCTAACCAAAGGAAGACAAAAGTATCCACCTACTGTGTCCCAGGCTTCTTTATTTAAGAAAGTGGTAAGTGATGTGGGGATTAAAAACAAGAGCATCTTTTAACTTCACCTTCCCTCCAACCAGTACCCCCCAAAACTCCCTGCCCCCACACCCTTTGTGTTCCCAAATCCTTTCTTAGTGAATGAAGAACTTAATCCCAAAGCCCTGGTACAAACCCCAGGTTCTCTTTCCCTAGCTATCCCCCTTCCTCTGGCCCCCATTCCTGGGAAAGGCTGGCACCTCAGTTTGAATGCATGGGAGAGCCCAGAGTGGTGACAGACACAGAGGGAAAGGCTTCACCCTCAGGGAAAGGGACTGAGGAATACAGTGTGGTGAAGTGAGGACCTCCATAGCCTGGAGTACCAAAATGGGGCCCTGGTGCCAGAGGAAAGGATACTGGTGCCCCTGAGAAAGGCGACCCAGAAGCCTCAAAATCCTCTCGTTGTGAATAGTCACTGCTTGATCGTTTGCCCTTCTGGCGACGATTGCAGAACCACACTCGGACCACCTGGGATGGAAGATACAAGGTAGAGTGACATTCAATCATGAGCTCCAGGTGGTGGGGCTAGCTTTGCTTAGTCATTTGGCCCAAAGCCAACAGATCTGGAATGGTTTAAAGACAAGAGACAGAGCCAAGGAAAGGAAGGTGGTGACTGGGAAGGAGATGGAGCATATAAGGACAGGGCACTCACATCCTTCTCCAGCCCGAGCTGCTGGGCAATGTGGCTGATCTGCTGCAGGGTGGGTTTCGGGCACTGCAGGAACATACTCTCCAGGTTGCCTCTCACTCGGTTCTCAATACTTGTTCGCTTTCTCTTTCGGGCCTGCACAAGCGTCTCTGCTTTGCATATCTGGGGAGGTGGGGAGAGAGTGACAATGGAGGGAAATGGAATAGTGCTGAGCACCATGAAGTCAGTGACTCAAGAGCAAATTGCTAAGGGGGCAGTGCCTGGACGGGTCACCTGCAGCAGTTGGTATGGAAAGAATCCTGGAAAGGTGGGTTTAGACAGAGGACTCTGGATCTCCTTCCAGCAGAACTAAGGAATTCCACTCCATCCCATTGAGGACCATTGCCCCAGGAGGGAGAGCTGGAAGCCGTGGATGGAAGCATTGAAAACCAGGCTAAGACTCAGCAGACTCCTGAGGATCCCCGCCCCCCTCACCTCCTGCAGATTTTCGTTGTTGTCAGCTTCCTCCACCCACTTCTGCAGCAGGGGCCGCAGCTTACACATGTTCTTGAAACTGAGCTGCAAAGCTTCAAAACGGCAGATGGTTGTTTGGCTGAACACCTTCCCTGGGGAGGCCAGTGGAAAGAGAAGCAAAGTGAGGCAGAAGGCAATACCTTTGTGACCCAAGACCAATACCTTTGTGACCCAAGACCCAGGGCCTCCCCACCTCTTCCTGCCTTCCCAAGATCCCATACCAGGGTCCCACTTCTTCCCAGAGGAAACTCAAGCTCCAAGTATTTTCCCCCCTTCCTCTCTACCCTCTTCATGTGTGGGGATAGAGTCCACTCCTGAAACACCCTTCCTTTTCTCCCCTGGGGGGAAGAAAAGCCCTGAGTTCAAGCATGTTCTTCCAGGGCAGATGTGATCCCTGTGTTCTCTGTCAGGACATGCTGAGGGAAACCCACCAAAGAGAACCCCCAGGGTGAGCCCCACATCGGCCTGAGTATATCCCAGGGTGATCCTCTTCTGCTTCAGGAGCTTGGCAAATTGTTCCAGGTCTTTCTGCAGAGCTTTGATGTCCTGGGACTACATTCATAAATGAAGGAAGAGGACATGTAAGAACACAAACACACTAGTCGTCGATCCTCCTTCCCATCTGGGCCCCAAGAATCTGACTGTAGCCCCAAGGAATGGTCTGTGGGAGTATCTATATCCAGACTGCCCACCAAATATCTAGAAGTAACCTATGTACAAACATCGTTCACCCCAGAAAGCAACATTGTGTAGATGCAGAGCACCATTCATGCTGACTGCCAGCTCAGAGCCTGGAGCCTGTTTCAGATTCTGTGTCTCCCTCTCTCTTTGACTCTCCCCAGCTCACGCTGTCCCCCTCTTTCTGAAATAAATAAAACATTAAAAAAAAATTTTTTAAATAAAAATAAGAAATCTGATGATTCCTTATTTTTACTCTATCCTTTTGTGACATACAGGGATTCTCATTGATTAATTCAACAGATTTATTGCACTTTCTATTAACCAGCGGCTACCCAAACTAGACAAAAAGCCCTGGCCTCAGGGGGCTGCCATTGTAACGTGGAGACACAAATAAGTTATCTCATATGTTACTATGGTAGAAGCACTATGGAAAAAAATACAGCAGGATGGAGGATTAGAGTACAGCAGGGTAGGAGACTATGAGGATGGTGACAATTTTAAATAAGATAGTCAGAGAAAATGATGCTTGAGCAAAGGGAAAGAGCCCAGTGTAAAGGCCCTGAGGTGGGTGGCCCTGCAGTGGCAAGGCCAGTGTGGCTGGAGCAGGGTGAAAGACAGAAGACAGGGATGGGGAGGAGTTCACAAAGACAAAGGGATGAGTAGGGCAGATCTTGTGGAGTGAAACGGAGAGCTGCTGAATGGATTTATGAAGTAAAATATCTGATTTTAAAATGTTCACTCCAAGGGTGCCTAAGTGGCTCACTCTGTTGAGTGTCAGATTGTTGATTTTGGCTCAGGTCATGATCTCACGGTTCATGGGACTGAGCCCTTCATTGGGCTCTGCACGGACTGTGTGGAGCCTGCTTGGGATTCTCTCTCCCTGCCCTCCTCCGGTCATGCAGGTGCACACACTCTTTTTCTCTCAAATAAATAAAATTTTGGGGCACCTGAGTGGCTCAGTCGGTTGAGCATCTGACTTCCACTCAGGTCAGGATCTCACGGTTCTTGAGTTCGAGCCCCGGACAGTTCTGTGCGGACAGCTCAGAGCCTGGAGCCTGCTTCAGGATTCTGTGTCTCCTTCTCTCTCTCCCCCCCTCCCCCACTTGTGCTCAGTCTCTCAAAAATAAATAAATGTAAAAATTTTTTTAAATAAAATCTTTACTCCAGAGGCACCTGGGTGGCTCAGTCAGTTAAGCATCTGGCTCTTGGTTTTGACTCAGGTTGTGATCTCAGGATTTGTGATTATCTTCACTGAAACCATGGAGCCTGCTTGGGATTCTCTCTGCACCACCCCCCCCACACACCTACCCCACCCACATGCTCATAGTCTCTTTCTCAAAATATATAAATAAAACTTAAATAAAAATAAAACGCTCACTCCGGTTGACATGTTGACAACAGACTAAGGAGGAAATGAGGGTATGACTCATAACTGCAGTAACCCCACATAGATGGTAGTGGCTGGGACCAGGGGTTAGTGATTGCTTCAGGGTGTATTTCCAAGGTGAAGATAGCTGTGCTTCCAAAAGATGGGATGTAGAATGTGAAAGGAATGAGGATGACCGGTTGGGGATGGATGGGGTGGAGTTCATGGAGCCATCACAGCGGGAGACAGAAAATGTGGCAGTCCTGTCCAAAGGCATTTGAGCTTGAGGGTGGATGTGAGGAAGGAAAGGCAGATCGAGCAGAAGGTGATGGACTGAGAGCCCTGGGCACTCCAGTGAAGGCGAGTGGCCAAGAGGACCAGAAGAGCAGCTAAACCTTTGTGCAGTACTAGAAACTCTGAATGAAGGGTATGAAGAGTGACCAATCACATCAAATTCAAATTCCGTTCCCAACTTCTGCTCACTCCTATAAATGTTCTCAGCTTCCCATAATGGCTTTCCCAGATCCTACTTTCAGGGTTTGAAGTACCCCAGTTCAGATCTTAGCTTCATCATTTAGTAGTTAAGACCCGTGAAATAGGCTAATAATACCTCCCTGGGAGATTTTGTGGTGGTTTAATGAGATAATGATGTAGGAACTGAGCACAC